AATGGACACGGCACAAGGGCAGTCGTGGCTGTACCACAATGTAATTTCTGAAACGCCATCATTCTTGAATTTGACTAGTTTTCATATACTGCCCTCGGCAGTGGGATCAGTCTCAGGCCTTAAAGCAAAGTCGATCACCAAGGTCCAGATGGGAACTGCTGTCCTGATGGCTGACCGCAAGCAAATCAACAAAAATCTAGGTTCAGAAAATAATTTGTTCAGGAGTGTGGTGTGCGCCACACTAGTAGGTGAAGATACTACAGGGTCCTCCAAGTGCATGAAATTATGCGAAATAAAGAACGCTGACGATGATTTACAAGCGATAGTGAGTCCGTATGTATCTGTATAGCTACATGTGTGATTTGGCTAATTTTACAAAATTCATTACAACACGTGCTCTCCTTATTCATGGCAATTTTGTCGCTGTCGTGAAGAAGTGCCATGCAAACAGAGTTGCGGTGGAAAAGCAGTTAAAGCAATGTGCGGACGGTGTATAGTCTCAGCCAGTGGGTAAAACGAGATATATATACGTGTAGGGGTATATGAGGGTAGGCAATCGCAAAGCAATTGTATTCGCATGCAATTACAGGCCAGGTGACGCAACCACTCAAGTATAAAGCAGCACAGGTCCATCATCCTATAGCAATGAAGTGTGGAACGCTATAGCCTACGTAAAGTAGTCCGTAATAAGAATCGCTTGTATATGTAGCACGCGCATCAGAAGCAAGTCATTTGATGAAGCGAATAGGGCTCATCCAAATTCTGTACAATGAGATTTTGTACTCCTTTCACATTGTTTATCATCATCCTCTGCGTAAGCGTAATCTACCTTCTTAACTGCCTTGCCATCTACTTTAAAATTGGGACCACAGGGAGTAAAGCAATTCATCCACATTTCCCTAACAAATGCTGTGAGTGGAACGACAGCATTTTGGCGAACCCAGGAGGCCAATATGAGCTACAGCTGTGTTATAAGAGCCTTCACAGTAAACATGGCCCTCATACTGCTACAGCCTTGATTGAAGAGTCGAAAATCCGAATAAATGGAAGCAGCAGAAGGTTGAAGTTCGAGGAGTTAGCTGATATTCCAGATACCGAGTGGATGAAGAATTTTGATCGTGGTGTCTACCAGCTCTATCCCCAGGCCGTTCCAATCAGGGAGATACTACAATCACTCATCAGTGGCAAACCGATTTTACAGGTAGACAAGTATTTGATAGCAGAATATTAGTTTAATTTTTCATAGTGACTCCCTAATGTAGCAGAATTCGATTTCTTAGTTAATAAAGTTGCTGCGAATATGTATGATTGTCGTTTTGTTTGTGCGAGCAAAATTGTTTTTATTGTCCCCTACATAACATTCCGATCTCTTATCTCCCACAAAACAGCCTCACGATACCCACCTCATCATCTAGCATACTTATTTTAGCCTCCCATCTTCAATCCACGAATACGATTTCTCCAGGTTCCTTTCAATTCCTGCTCTCCTCTAACACCCGCACAGATCAAAAATGGGCTTATTAATAAATCGCCTCATCCGAATGTGGTGATAATTTACAAGTCCGGCGTCTATAATTTTGAAGCGAGAAGTGACATACGCAGGCTCTACAACCTTTCTCAAGCAAATATCACCATCCAACTTATCTTCTCCATTGGACTGCCGCGAACTTCGCTAGGAAACGTGTTTCAGCGCGATGGATTTAATATAACCCTCACAAACAGGGCAGGTTATAAGCTGCTGGCATATTCGCGTTCTCCATCTGAGATGAAAAGAAGACTTTTCAAAGAAATGTACGAACACAACGACCTACTTCTTGGTGACTACGAAGACTCCTACTACAACTTGTCGCTAAAACTCTTTCACACATTTCAGTGGGCCGCTCGGTTTTGCCGGCCCTACAAACCGATCTTTGCCTTTCTTGACGACGACTATGCCGTGAATACCAAAAAATTGGCCAGCTTTGTTCGCGACTTAACGCCAGAACTAAGGGAAAACCTGCATCATGGTTACGACGTAACTGTGAATCCTGTCTTTCGGTATTTCGATCACCAAGGTCCAGATGGGAACTGCTGTCCTGATGGCTGACCGCAAGCAAATCAACAAAAATCTAGGTTCAGAAAATAATTTGTTCAGGAGTGTGGTGTGCGCCACACTAGTAGGTGAAGATACTACAGGGTCCTCCAAGTGCATGAAATTATGCGAAATAAAGAACGCTGACGATGATTTACAAGCGATAGTGAGTCCGTATGTATCTGTATAGCTACATGTGTGATTTGGCTAATTTTACAAAATTCATTACAACACGTGCTCTCCTTATTCATGGCAATTTTGTCGCTGTCGTGAAGAAGTGCCATGCAAACAGAGTTGCGGTGGAAAAGCAGTTAAAGCAATGTGCGGACGGTGTATAGTCTCAGCCAGTGGGTAAAACGAGATATATATACGTGTAGGGGTATATGAGGGTAGGCAATCGCAAAGCAATTGTATTCGCATGCAATTACAGGCCAGGTGACGCAACCACTCAAGTATAAAGCAGCACAGGTCCATCATCCTATAGCAATGAAGTGTGGAACGCTATAGCCTACGTAAAGTAGTCCGTAATAAGAATCGCTTGTATATGTAGCACGCGCATCAGAAGCAAGTCATTTGATGAAGCGAATAGGGCTCATCCAAATTCTGTACAATGAGATTTTGTACTCCTTTCACATTGTTTATCATCATCCTCTGCGTAAGCGTAATCTACCTTCTTAACTGCCTTGCCATCTACTTTAAAATTGGGACCACAGGGAGTAAAGCAATTCATCCACATTTCCCTAACAAATGCTGTGAGTGGAACGACAGCATTTTGGCGAACCCAGGAGGCCAATATGAGCTACAGCTGTGTTATAAGAGCCTTCACAGTAAACATGGCCCTCATACTGCTACAGCCTTGATTGAAGAGTCGAAAATCCGAATAAATGGAAGCAGCAGAAGGTTGAAGTTCGAGGAGTTAGCTGATATTCCAGATACCGAGTGGATGAAGAATTTTGATCGTGGTGTCTACCAGCTCTATCCCCAGGCCGTTCCAATCAGGGAGATACTACAATCACTCATCAGTGGCAAACCGATTTTACAGGTAGACAAGTATTTGATAGCAGAATATTAGTTTAATTTTTCATAGTGACTCCCTAATGTAGCAGAATTCGATTTCTTAGTTAATAAAGTTGCTGCGAATATGTATGATTGTCGTTTTGTTTGTGCGAGCAAAATTGTTTTTATTGTCCCCTACATAACATTCCGATCTCTTATCTCCCACAAAACAGCCTCACGATACCCACCTCATCATCTAGCATACTTATTTTAGCCTCCCATCTTCAATCCACGAATACGATTTCTCCAGGTTCCTTTCAATTCCTGCTCTCCTCTAACACCCGCACAGATCAAAAATGGGCTTATTAATAAATCGCCTCATCCGAATGTGGTGATAATTTACAAGTCCGGCGTCTATAATTTTGAAGCGAGAAGTGACATACGCAGGCTCTACAACCTTTCTCAAGCAAATATCACCATCCAACTTATCTTCTCCATTGGACTGCCGCGAACTTCGCTAGGAAACGTGTTTCAGCGCGATGGATTTAATATAACCCTCACAAACAGGGCAGGTTATAAGCTGCTGGCATATTCGCGTTCTCCATCTGAGATGAAAAGAAGACTTTTCAAAGAAATGTACGAACACAACGACCTACTTCTTGGTGACTACGAAGACTCCTACTACAACTTGTCGCTAAAACTCTTTCACACATTTCAGTGGGCCGCTCGGTTTTGCCGGCCCTACAAACCGATCTTTGCCTTTCTTGACGACGACTATGCCGTGAATACCAAAAAATTGGCCAGCTTTGTTCGCGACTTAACGCCAGAACTAAGGGAAAACCTGCATCATGGTTACGACGTAACTGTGAATCCTGTCTTTCGGTATT